TATATTGCAGTACCATTTATCATTTAGTAATCAAAATATGTCATTGTAATTTTGCATGGCTGAAATGTAACGCTTGATTTATATATATAATGATTAATTGAATTTTCAAATAAAAAAAAAAAGTCATGTCAGAGCATAGTAACATATCCCCAACTGCAGCTGAAGAAATGTGTTATCAGGACTTTGACAATCCAACTCAGATAAAACAGGAGTCTATAACTGATACTCAGTATTGTGACATTTCAACTCAAATAAAGCATGAGATAAAAACTGAGCAGATTTCTGACAACATAATTCAAATAAAACAGGAGATTGAAACTGAGCAGGATTCTGATAATTTAACTACAATAAATCAGGCAGTTAAAACTGAGCAGGAAGAAAACTTGACCGTCTTAATTTGCCCAAAATGTGAAGCCTATGTCCTAAATAATCATCGCTTCTTTGAACATATGAGAGAACACCATGAAAATAATATCAGTACAAATTTGAACTCTGATAAGTTAATGAGTGCTGAATCAGAAGAAATGGTTAATCATTCAAGAACAACAACAAATTTGGAAAAGCCTTTTCAATGTAATGTTTGCTCTTATTGTTAAAGTAAAGTAAAGTAAAGTAAAATTTATGACATCACATCATCACACATGTCTACAAACTATCATCGCACTGTGTGAAAAAATATATAATAAATATTTCCCCACCAACATTAATTAATTATCAAATACAATATTTAAAAAATATTTCATCAAAAACATTATCCTATTTTTAAAACTTCCCAGTGGAATGAAGATTTATAAAACGCTTCTTTGCCACATAAGGATGGAACCAAAGATAATTGTTATGTTTCTCTTTATTACTGACATAACTGGCTCCCTCAATTCTTACTAAAACTTCATTAGAAACATTCCAAAAAAAGCAATCATTTGTAATACTTTTAGAAATCATATCTATCTTATATCCTTCTAATTTAATTTTAAAACCTAAAACTGTCACAGAGTTCTTGACGTCCGGAGGGAGCTTGTTCCAATATGGAATAACTCGCTCCGGGAGAAAAGACTTCTGGATATTCTTGACCTTTGTCACACTTTTACTACATCTATTGGATGAAACCAGATTAAGACCTGATCTGCTTGGTCTGAACAAGTCTGAACCATAATCAGTCATAGCATTAATAACCTTAAAAGCTTCAATAAGGTCCCCACGTATTCGCCGCTCTGCCAGCGTTGTCAAATTGAGGATTTCCAGTCTACGGCTGTAAGGAAGAGTACCCACCTCATCAATCAGACGGGTAAACCGCCTCTGGACGCTCTCCAGCTCCAAAACAGTCCCCCAACTTCCATGAGCCGCAGGTGGATTCCACAATTGGACACAATACTCAAGATGAGGTCTTATTAAAGCTTTATATATAGCAATCATAACAACCTTTTCTCTAATAACTAAATTCCTTACAATCCAACAAATCATACGATTTGCCTTAGCGATACATGCTTTGATCTGTTCGTTCCAAAGCAGGGAGCTATGGGTAATAACCCCCAAATCTTTTTCCTGTGCAGATACTTCAAGTTCTATACCATTTACCTTATAATTTAAATTAGGATTGTTGTTAAAATTAATGTGCACTACTTTGCACTTGGCAGGATTAAATTGTAAAAGCCAAATACTTTCCCAAACTTCTAATTCTTCGATATCTTCAGCAACACTACCGTGGTCAGCTGCATTACCAATTAATTTAAGATCATCAGCAAATAACTTTATCTTATTTTTTACAAGGTCAGGCAAATCATTAATATACAGAATGAATAGGAGAGGGCCTAGAACTGACCCCTGAGGAACACCAGATAAAACATGTTTAACCTCGGACCATTGTCCTTCTACAGAAACCCTCATAGTCCTGTCTGTCAGAAAATCTTTAATAACATTTAAAACCTTTCCTTTGACACCAAAGCCTTCCAATTTAGACAGAAGTCTAAAGTGGGGGACTGTGTCGAATGCCTTACTAAAATCAAAGTATAGAAGATCAACCGGGGCACCTTCATCTAAAATGTCAAGAATGTCATCAAATGTCTCTAAAAGATTAGATAAACACGATTTACCCTTAACAAATCCATGCTGATGCTTCGAAATTCGATGTTCTAAAAAATTTAATACATGTGCTCTCACCAACTTTTCATACACTTTGCACAAAATACACGTTAATGAAACTGGTCTATAATTTAAGGGGTCCGATTTAATACCCTTTTTAAACAATGCTACAACAGATGCAGATTTCCACACTGCAGGTAAAGATCCTGTATCTGAACACTTTTGAAATAATTTAGTCAATGCTTCAACAAAATTGTTGTCATAAGCTAGCGATTTCAACAACTTCGGGTGAACACCATCCGGACCAGAACTCTTAAAAATGTTAAGCTTTAAAAGTTGCTTTTTTATATCAGAACTGCTGACTTCCATATCATCAATATCATCAATACTCTCATTGTCAGGTCTTAAATTCTCAGTTTTAGGGAGAGGGCCAGGTGGTTCACGCACAAAAACAGAGCTAAAGGCACTTGCGAGTACCTCAGCTGACTCAGTTGAACTATCTGTGCGTGTACCATCTCCTCTATCTAAAGAGACCACACTTGATTTAATTTGACGTTTATTTCGTAAATAAGAGTAAAAAGACTTACAATTCTGCTTTAGATTAGATGTAATTTTCTTTTCATAGTTAACTTTAGCTTTAATTTCTGCTACTTCATAAGTATGCTGTTTGCTACTTGCATAACTAAAATTAACATCAGATGGATTAATATCAAACTCAGCCCATGCTTTATCTTTATTCTTTCTCATTCGTTTAAGTGCAGATGTACTCCATGGCAACTTGACAGGTCTGTTGTCGAGATAAACCGAAGCAGTCGGAACAGCTGCAGCAACAGTCTCCAGTTTACCATGTAATTCAGCCCACATATCTTGAACATCATCGGTAGAACTATAATCCCAGTCGGTATTTTTCAAACTAAAATTTAATAACTCTTCAGAGGAAATCTTACCCCATATAGGTTTGATAATCTTCTCTTTTAAACATTTGCTAGTATCCGGCGAGACAACTAGTTCGACAAGTATCCCAACATGATCACTCTTACCAAGCGGAGAAACGATCTTACAACCGTTGACAAGAGCATCATTTGTATACAGGACCTGATCAAGAAGACTCTCCTGGAGAGTATCCTTCACAAGCCGTCTTCTAGTTGTCTCGTTGGTGAAATACCAAGTTAAACCACTGTCATTGAAAACATCCATGAATTTCTGTTGAGTAACTAAAAACTGGTTCTTGCTAACAATATTACTATTTATGCTACCAGTTTCCCATAAAACATTTGGTAAATTAAAATCTCCTAAAAGGAGTGTTTCAAAATCATTCCTTTCACTACAGATGCTCTTGATACAAGATATTAACGCATTATTCTGTTCTAAATTCAATGAAGTGGATCTGTAAATACAACAAATACTAATCAGTCCACCTGATGTGTTGATATTAACAGCTAAAGAATCCGGTGCCTTTAAAAAAGAGTTCGCTAGTGAAGCATTACAACAGTTTTTAACATAAATTATAGAGCCCCCTCCACCACTTATACTGCCAGTGGAATTGTCAATTCTAAAATCTCTATCTTTTCTAAACATACTAAATCCTTCAATATAAATTTCGGCATCTAATATATCACTACTAAAATGAGTTTCTGTTACACAAATTACCTCAATAGATTTATACATTGATAAAATACATTTTAGTTCTTCAATTTTATTAAATAGGCCGTTAGCATTGGTATAAATAATATTTAACGGCTGGGCACTGCGGCCCCCGCTTTGTCCTCTGTCTTCTCTGGCTCTCTTTTCTTTGCTTCCTCCTTCGTCTTCTCTGTCTCTCTTTTCTTCGCTTCCTCCTGCCTCTTCTTCCTCTCCTTTCTGGCTAAAAAACGAATATCTCTGTCTGCCTTGCAGAGGTCAAAGTTGATCCAATAAGTTGACTCTTTCCAGCCCTTACCATGGTCAGCGTAGAAATTTACTGACTCTTCATCTCGTGTCTGGATGATGAGCGGGCGACGGTGATCTGGCTTGTCAGCATCAAGCTTGCCAGAGCGATGGCAACTTATCATGTCGTCCTTCTTAACCTTTAGGGTCTCCCTGCAGAACTTGGAGTCGTCCTCCTGGCGTTGCTTAGAGGTAGTCTTTTTGCTCTCTGGAACCTTGAGCACACACAGATTGAGTTTTCGTTTGTTTCGCTCAAATGTATCAGTGTGCATCTTCATTTGCACTTCCGAAATAACAGTTTCAGAAGCTTGTTCACGACTCATGTCATCGAGAACCTTTTTCTGGGTTTGTGCTGTTACCTCAGAATAGAGACGAACAGCTTTATCAACAGTTTTCTCTGCGCTTCCTTTAATAGCTTCCTTAATCGAGTTAGTCAGGGCTGGGGTCAAATGTTGGAGTTCCTCTTTAATAATAGCCCTGACAGCCCCGTTTTCCTTAGTGTCAGCTGAGGTATGAGGCGCCACAAAACAGTATGGGCACTTCCAGTTTGTTAAATTCAGTAACATTTCGTTTTCAAGTCCAGATAAACCAACACAACTCAGGTGCCAAAATAATTGGCAAGCTTCACATTCAACTGATAGTTCTTCTGACATGTAAACATCACATTGGCAGTATTTTTCCTCTGGCACTGGGACATTATCAGAAGATGAATCCTTAGGGGGACTCGTCTTGACTCCACGTTTTTTCGTATCGACACCCTCTCGGGTACATTGCTACTTGCCATCCCTCAATAAATGTATTTAATTGTAGTTGTGAAAATAGTTTGCTCGTGCAAATCCAAACTTATTGCACATCAACGTATCCACATGGGAGACAAACCTTGTAATGGAAGCTCATCATCTTTTGCTCAGAATTCTTCTCTCACAAAACATAATTGTCTTCATATGGGAGGAAAACCCTTCAAGTGTAATGAATGCTCTTCATCTTTCTCTCAGAAATGTAGTCTCAGAGCACATCAGCGTATTCACACAGGAGAGAAACCGTTCAAGTGTAATGAATGCTCCTTGTCTTTTTCTCAGAAATCTAATCTCAGAACACACCAGTTTATCCACTCAGGAGATAAACCTTTTAAGTGTAATGAATGCTCCTCATCTTTCTCTTATAAATCTAAACTCAGAGCACACCAGCGTATTCACACAGGAGAGAAACCGTTCAAGTGTAATGAATGCTCCTCATCTTTCTCTTATTGATTGATTGAAATAAATTTTCGTGCACATACAGAATGAATGGTTAATAATTTAATATATATGTAGACCAAGGTCTGTGCACGGGATGCTTCCTGGAAGAATCCAGTTCTTTTAGCGGGGCACCCTACCTAAAGCCAAATTGAGATATAATAATCATATTCCTAGAGAAATAATCAGAAATAGAATACCAATCAAATAATATGATATATAGGAGTAGTAACCATATTTACTATGCAAAATGCCCCAACCACATAGTGTAAATTTATATAGAATTCAAATTCCATATCATCATTAAACCTCATAGTAGTAAATGCACCTTAACTTTTTTACAGACTTCAAATCTAAAAACACATCAATGTATTTACACAGCATTGAATGATCCAAATTTTATTTTTGATTTATTTATAATTAACTTAATCTACATTTTATGGCATTTCATTTATTATTTTTGATATTCATGCGTTTTCTTATTGAAAGTTATTTCATTTACCATGACGATTGATTATAAATTGTTGTTGAACAATAAAGGCTATCATTTGAAATAATATTAAGATTGGCATTATTCATCATTCGTCTATGTGAGTACTGATTACTTCTAAACAATAAAACTATTGCAGGATTGTCATGTCAGAGCATAGTAACATATCCCCAACTGCAGCTGAAGAAATGTGTTATCAGGACTTTTACAATTCAACTCAGATAAAACAGGAGTCTATAACTGATGCTCAGTATTGTGACATTTCAACTCAAATAAAGCATGAGATAAAAACTGAGCAGAATTCTGACAATGTAGTTCAAATAAAACAGGAAATTGAAACTGAGCAGGATTCTGATAATTTAACTACGATAAATCAGGCAGTTGAAACTGAGCTGGAAGAAAACTTGAACGGTTTAATTTGCCCGAAATGTGAAGCCTATGTCCTAAATAATCATCGCTTCTTTGAACATATGAGAGAGCACCATGAAAACAGTATCAGTACAAATTTGAACTCTGATAAATTAATAAGTGCTGAATCAGAAGATCACACAAGAGAGAAACCGTTCAAGTGCAGTAATGAATGCTCCACATCTTTCTCTTATAAATCTAATCTCATAGCACACCAGCGTATTCACACTGGAGAGAAACCGTTCAAGTGTAATGAATGCTCCACATCTTTCTCTTATAAATCTAATCTCATAGCACACCAGCGTATTCACACAGGAGATAAACCTTTCAAGTGTAATGAATGCTCCTCATCTTTCTCTCAGAAATCTAATCTCATAGCACACCAGCGTATTCACACAAGAGAGAAACCGTTCAATTGTAATGAATGCTCCTTGACTTTCTCTCAGAAATCTAATCTCACAGCACACCAGCGTATTCACACAGGAGATAAACCTTTCAAGTGTAATGAATGCTCCTCATCTTTCTCTCGGAAATCTCACCTCACAACACATCAGCGTATTCACACAAGAGAGAAACCGTTCAATTGTAATGAATGCTCCTTGACTTTCTCTCAGAAATCTAATCTCATAGCACACCAGCGTATTCACACAGGAGATAAACCTTTCAAGTGTAGTGAATGCTCTTCATCTTTCTCTCAGAAATCTAATCTCAGAAGACACCAGCGTGTACACACTGGAGGGAAATCCTTCAAGTGTAATGAATGCCCTTCATCTTTCTCTCAGAAATCTAATCTCAGAGCACACCAGCGTATTCATACAGGAGAGATACAGTTCAAGTGTAGTGAATGCTCCTTGTCTTTTTCTCAGAGTTCAAAACTAAAAACACATCAGTGTATCTACACAGCGTATGAATGATCCATTTTTTGTTGATTCATTTAAATAATCAATTTAATCAGCATTTTATGGCATTATACATTTATTATTTTTTGATAATTGCGCTAAAAGTTTTTGTATTTAAAGTTATTTCATTCACCATGACGATTGATTATAAATTGTTGTTGAACAATAGAGGCTATTTAATTGGAATTAATAGTAATATAATAATATATGGCATTATTTATCATTTGTCTACGTGATTACCATACCTTGTCATAGAACATTTAAATATCGAAACTACCTATGTGATATCATCTAGTCTGGGTGCAAAATGAATAAATAGGTTTATTAGTTTTATAGAAATTTTATAGAAAGTTTTATTGAAATTTATATACATTACCAATTTTGTATCCTTGTATTCTGGAGATGTCCAACATATCTTGCATGAGTAATTTTCTCATTTTCTGGAAGGTGGATTTGCCACAGCACGTTTTAATTTCATAGATTTATTAATTTATCTATAAATATTTAAATCTATTAGAAACTAGTGATAACTGATAAACCTCTATACCCCCTCTATCTTACTGTTTATTTCCAAATTTCTTTGTACACCCTTGAAACCCTTAAAATCTTATGAAGCTAGTTCTAACCACATCTTAAAACCTTTCTCTAAGGAAACTTTATTATTAAAGGATGGGGTCGATGGCTGACAGTTTATTTGAGTTCTTTCACTCACAAATGATACTCTACTTCGAGGTACTTTGATTTGTAATGCCTACATTGTAATCGTTATTTTGCCTCTTTCATTTCATTTACTCTAAACTTAGCAGCACATAAGTATTAAGTACGTTACGCCACTGTCCGTCATTGAGTTTTCAAATTATTATCCTCAGGAAACATTCGGTGAAGAGCAAATACAATACAATATGGAAAAAATAGGTTACAGAGTTGGGTTTAGCTTAGTTGAGAAAGCGACAAAGGAAGAGGCTAGGTTCAAGGAAAATGTAGAGATTGTGAAGTATATTTGCAAGGTGAATTACGGTCTTGTTTGGTGATTAACTGCTTGGATTATAATCATATTGGAAAGATTAAACTTGATATTCCTTTGGTGGTGATTTGAGATTTCATGTTGTACGGCTTTCAGATTATAAATATAGAAATACGTTATCTGACCCACTCGTTTGTTCAGGATTTGTGGCAGATGTTGTTCAGAAAACAAGCAGACAATCTTAAAACAAATCACACAGGAACATTTGTGATACAGGACAACAGATTTAGGTTTCTCAACAGAGTCAGCCAGGTTAGTGACTCGCGGTAATCATTATCCAATAACAAATGAAATTGCGTGATTTTATTGAAACTTTAAACTAATTACAACACTACAGATCTAATACATTTATGCTTTTATGGAGGAAGCGATGTAAGAGAGTCGACATACTTTAATGTTGCCATCAGCCATGGGCTGGCAAGTCCCCATTCATCGTAGTCCGATAGTTTCACTGCATCCTAATATCAAATAACCCTCAGTCTAAGCAGTACTTGGACAGAGGGCAGCAGTACGCAGCCTTCACGTGTGGTGTAGTTAGAGGTGCCCTTACTAACTTTGGTATGCCCTGTACCGTCACCTCGGAGGTAAGATTTATTGGTGGCCGTTTTTTTTGTTTCTAAATTTGATGTCTGACATTAAATACTCAATATATTTTATCCCTTGATTCTTGTTTTGATTCAAAATTTAAATATAGGTAGGTTTTTTGAACGACCCTCTCACTTTTTCAGGTGAACGTCAGTCCTACATGCAAGTTTCAGATATCTATACAGGGGATCAGCTGACAAGTTACCCCAATCTGTTCTTCAATTTAGATGTCAGATGATGTTGTTTTCGCTGAAAGGGTCTTCATTTAGATGGTGTGCGCACGCGCTACCCCAAAATTGTTATCAAAGCAACTCTATTTTTGCGCGAACAGTCCACGCTTTTTTGATTTGGTTATTATATTACATATTATATAGGTTGAGTATGATCGATTTAATTGAATTAATCTATCGATCGAACGATCGTACCCTTGCGACTTGACAAGTCGGACTTGTTCGATGACCTGAGCGATCGTATCACTATGGCTTTGATTTCTGCTGTCGTGGTTACTATGTAATAGTCTTCATCTTCCTATGATTGTCTCTGAATCTCACCGCTTGTCAATAAGAACTGATTTTCCACATTAAAGTAATTATAAAAATATTGATTATAAATGTTAATAAGTAGAAGTTTTCCTCGGATTCAAAACATGAACTTGTGACGTAGCCTCTAAAGTAAGATTTTAGTAATTACGGTCGATATAATTTGTGCATAACATTAGAAGTGTACAGCTGTGAATAGAGCCACCATTTCATGATGTCCGAGGTGTATACTGCAACTGGACTATTTATATCTTGTGCAGGTTTCACTGCTGAGAACTGCGTGTATCAGCGTATTTACTTAGATTAGTTGATATTTTGTTGAGGTTTGTTTATGTTACGATGATGTTTATTGTTTTTTAATCAATGTGACTGATGAAATAGATTTGAATCATTTAATTTTCTTCCGTTTAATCGAATCTGAAAACAAAACACAACACACTACACGTTCTTTCGTGAGTTAACGAAAACTTTTATGTTTTTTAAACTGTTCATAGAATCTTATTCTGTTTATACTCCGTCTGCAGTCATACGATTTTTATCGATATTTTATCTGCATTTAACTCTGAATTTCACTTTTATAGGATGTCAATAGCCGAAGTAGTGTTTGTTTTAGGACCTCCTGGGGCTGGTAAAGGGACACAGTGCACCAGAATCAAAGACAGCTTTGGTTACATCCATCTTTCAGCAGGTTTCCTTCTCTTTTTAACGCGAGTAAGCGAATCTGTTTCTCTTTTTATAACGTGGTCAGTTGACGTGATTCTCGGCCCTCTGGGGTGATTTGATTTGTCGATGCCGTAATCTGACTGGGTAATCGCTGTCATGTTTACTTCTCCCCCGAAAACAAAGGCTCCTCAAGGACCAACATAAACTAAAATTTCAACCTGCACCCACTATTGATGCTCTGATTTCCAAACTTTCATGTTGCTGTATAAAGTTCTATGTTTAAGAATAGACTAGAAGTAACAGGATATGCTACTCGGTCGCCGCTTAAACTAAAGACTATATCATTCCTCATTCCTGCCAGGTGATCTGCTAAGAGCTGAACAGAAGGCGGGGTCTGAAGATGGAGAACTGATCAAAGACTTTATTAAAGAGGGCAAGATTGTCCCGATTGAGATTACCATCAGGCTCCTTGAGAAAGCAGTTGTAAGGTCAGTTTGCTTCAGATTACTAAATATAGCCAAGTCATCCTCACTTCCCCAAGCAAAACAGTTACTAGAAAGTAGAAACGTTTGAATGATATTGCGTTCTGTTATGATTAGATTCCCCTGATATGATTATTACTACTAAATACTAATATGTCCCTAATGATTACTACTATACTAATAATATACTAATCCAGTGCTGGAGCCACTAAAGTGCTAATAGACGGGTTCCCAAGAAACAAGGAGAATCTGGACGGCTGGGAGAAGGAGATGGTGGAGACTGGGAAAATGCACACCAAGTTCATGTTGTACTTCGAGTGCGCTGAGGAGGAGTGTTTGAGCCGAGCTATGGGACGCAACCAAAATAGGTTCTTTTTCATCTCTTGTTCCCTGATTTTATAAACAACACTGGAATACTCTCTTGAAGATTACGATAGATTTTTAGATTCTGTTTTATTATTATTTGAGTTAAAACAAGCCACGTCTTTCCGCAGAGCTGACGACAATGTTGAGTCGTTCAAGAAGCGCATAGCGACCTACACCTCCTCCACAGTCCTGGTTCTGGAGGAGTTCAACACTCGGGGTCTCCTGAGGAAGGTGGACGCTAATGGTTCTCCCGATCAAGTGTGGGACCTTACTCGACAGTTGTTTCTGGTAAGAATTGGATTTTATCTGCAGCGCTGTGTTAACAGCTGAATGCTGCTGTCCGCTTGGGTGTTAGCTGTAGGTGCTTGTAGGGTGAGGCCATGCACTAAAATTTGCAGAACTTATTTGTCTGCCTTAATTGATGTGAACGGATAAATTATACTGATTACTTAATCTTATCATAACTAACTCAACATTTTCTATTCAACGACTGTTCAGAATAGGTATCTTACTATATATAAAGCGGAACGATATGTATATATCCGTACCATTTTACTGACACCACGGCATCAACTTTAACGCGACTTTCCGCAAAAACTGTAAAAGATATACAACTGAAACTTTTTTGACTGGGTCAAATGCTTTAATGGCCTCCAAATCAGCATGAAAAATTTTTTTTAAATTGGCCAAGGAATAGGAGTTTTAGAGCCCAAAATTTGGACCCCCAAGTGGTGTCAAAAACGCGAATTAAATAGGTAACAATTATTTTAGTCTCTTGAGTCTTGACACTATTTTAGGGTTATACGGGTTCCTGCTAGTGTCTGATAAATTGACAATGAAATCATACAAATCACATGCGAAACCCTCAGTATTATCAGCGAAGACTGAGGCAGACCATTCCGACGTATCATATATTCCTACTGAGACTTTAAAATTGTTGATAAATTCTTTCGATATACAATATTAAATCTCACGTCTTACTCACAAATCAAGTATGTTAAAATGATATTAAATGACAACAAAATCCTTAAGTACGAACTTTGTCTCTTCTGTAAACAGTATCTTTCTATAATTGTCAGTCAGTTAACCACTTTGGCTGACAGTAACTGGTTCAGAAACTCGGAATGTATTCTTTAGAGCTTGATAAATAAACTTCTGGTATCCTGGCATTCTTAATAGGTAGAGTAGTGGGTTAATCGCTGCATTCAGAAACATCGAGAAGTTCTGCGTCAAGAGTTGCCCATAAAGATCGAATTTGGGATTGTCGATGTGGTTTGACTGTGGGACAATTTTCCATATCTCATAAATAAAGCATGGGATGTTGAAAACCAGAAACACCGCCGTGAAAATGCTGATGGTGACAGAAACCTGGTGGAATTTGTCGTCGTTATTGTTGCTTACCCTTGGGCGGGTCATTAAAAACCAAGTTCCAACTACAAAACTGGCAAATGTAGCCAAGGCAGGTAAGAAAAGCTCTATGGGGATGGAAATAATTGAAAAATAATATGCAATGACAGGCATTTCTAATTTGTTAGGATACAATGTACAACAGGATATCTCTTGACTGTATCTACTATAATGCCATCTTTGAGAAAAGTAGATCAAGTATATCCCGATCATGTAAGCAGTGTATCCAGCGATTGCACCGATCACCACAGATCGCTTTATAAGGTGGTGAGGAAACGTTATGGAAATAGTGCGAGTTACACTGATCATCATAACAAGAAACATTGACATCCTTGCAGTAAAATAGAATGTCAATGTCCACGCAGTGCAGAACAAGTCATTGTTGAAGAGCATGGCATGACGGTCATTTATTAGAGACGCTACGAGTGGAACACCTGAGAAGACTGTAATAAAATCAATTGCTGCTATCAACAGGTACTGGAGGTCATGTATTGTTTTCTGTCTCCTCGGCCAGAAGTAGCAGCCTGCTGAACAATTCCCCAAAAGTCCGACCACACTGCCTAACACTAACATTGAAGCAAGGATGTGGTCAGTAGTTTCAATCCCTAGCTTCTCCATCTCTTCATTATCCCATGTGTCAGCTTGAGTAACATTAGACTGGGTCGTCATATTCTTGAGATCTGAATCACTGTTAATCTTGTTAGTTTAATTCGTATCTACCCCTATTTTCATAAACCGTACATTCAATGTTTCCAAAAATTTAATTTACTAGATGGGCAAATTATAAAAATCCAGATTACAGATCTGCCACGCTGTTATGACAAACCTAAATGCAACTTCTAGAGGGAGACAAAACAGCACTGTAGTCTTTAGTTTACCTAGCTTTTAGAATAACTTAACTGCTGAATCGATGTGTACAGTAGTAGGAGGTAAATCAAGTTTTAATAAAGAATATCATATAGATGACGTTTGTTTCCCTAACATAGCGTTATCAAATTGATAAAATACCACAAACAAACGGAGCTCTAGATAACTGTAAAAGTGGTAACAGTCACTAAAAGATAGACCACTAATAACATCAGGTTCCCTCATTGGCTTTAAATGCAGTTAACTGATCACAGTTGGCCTTGAATCGGCACGTGTTATTATTGATTTACATGGTAAAGTGGGATCTGTTGTAGAGGATGTAGTGAATGTGCGATTATACCGGTTTCACTCGAACAGCGGCTGTGGTATATGATCTGAAGATTATAATGTGGTGTATAATTAGTTTAGTGGTCTTATTAGTTTCTTATTGCTATGGTGTGTACGGTGTACCAAAAAGAGGTATATTTAAATGATGCCAAAAAATCTACTGCCTAACGAAACAGAAATGCGTCCGCAATTTCGGTGTGTGAACAACATCTAAATTTTGCGTCCCTGGTATTTGTAACTCTATTTACACGTTAGTGTCTGCTTAAAATTAGGTAATTTCAACACCTAATCGACTAAACAACCTCGTCCATTCATGTAAATGTCATATCTTTGAGCCTCATACGATAAAATTAAGGTACTGACACCAACAGGAAAGGGAAATTAAGTGGCTGCTTGCATCAGAATTTTCGCCGCTTTTCTTGCTAACGCTCAAGTTTAGTTATTTTACATATTTTGCTGCATGAATTTTCGCAGTTATGTGCATGATGCTATTACTTTTATTTTCAGTAACTTATAGGATACCCCTGGAAGGTCCTGCAAATCCTGATAGTCCATTTTATGTGAGTATCGGATTTTTAAATTTCTATTACTCCTTGATTTCTTTTCAAACTCATAATTTTCACCACTTATTTAGTGCCTACTCATTTCATAGATGGGTTCTAAAATGAAGCCTCATTGGATCACATGATCACCCATGCTTAAGATGAGAGTAAATACCTTAATTTTGACCCCCTATAAAATCATTGATCAATGATCAATGATCGTACCTTATTAGTTTCGAAAGCCTACCTTAAAGAACCCACCTGTAAAAGTGTGTGGATTCGCTTTTCTTGCGATATTTGCAGTATGTCGACCAATAACCACGCTACAATCTACATTACGACATTCACTCTCCAATATTTCATAATTAAGTACCTACTGTGTTAAAAACTGTGTTTTGTTCTTACTAACATCTCTTATCTTAACACCCTCACAGACTGAAGGAGACACGCCCCTGCTCACCAACTTCATGGCTCCCATCCCAAATATTGGTGGAATCTCCGCCCCAGCTCCAACACCTCTCCCAAATCTCGACGAGATCTCCGCTCCAGCTCTGCCCCTCTTCAACGCGTCCCTCAGTGTGGATCCTAGTGGTCCTGAGCAGGAAAGTGTGGTGTTGAGTCTAGGAGAAGGGGAAGGAGAGGAGGAAGAGGAGGAGGAGTATTCTGGTATCCTCAGCCTCTGTAATATTCTGTAGCTCACTTGTTGTGGAGTTTGTTGTGGTGAATGTTGTTATTTGATACGGGTTGTAGTGGTTCGCGTTTGTTATTGTAACCAGATATATTTAAGATTAAAATGGCGCCACCATGTGCAATGTGCATCCAATATCAGCTGACTTTTATTTTAGTCTGTTTTGATTTTGATGCCTGTGTTCATCTGGTAGTCAGCTATTTTTTCCCTCGTTGAATATATTATAGGTTTTCGAATTGGCTGCTTTGCCACTGAGTTAAGATTTTGAGGCTAGGGTTTCGAGTTATGTTTTTTCGATCGACCGATAGGCGAGGATTTCCGGGGGCGTTTTTCTATTTGACTGGGGTATGACTTATCGGGTTTAACTTAAGTATTTTAAATTTATGCTAAATAATGTAAATATTGTCTAAATTATGCCTTAAATTTAATGGGTTAAATGTTAAAGTTATTATTATTTCTTTTGAATTTGATGTCTGGGCTAAATGTATCGAAACTTCATCTATGAGTAAATTTGCAATATAGTTAAACATTTTATTTAAAACATTTCATGAGCTGTCAGCATATTACTGATTCCTACGATTAATATTTAAACCATTCCTAGGAAACAGCTTGTCAAAATCCATGTTGGCCGTGTGGTAAATTTCTGCATAGATCAGACTCTATTTTAGCACTGACGGATTCCTCGCAGGGGCTCTGCCGCCAACAAGCACTTTGAAAAGCTATTTTAGAGCACACGACACAGTCGATCATGTTCTGGAGAAAGAGCCCAACTCGTAATGATTTCTAAAGAAGCTGCTAAAATTCTAATTTTACCATTACTTGGTCGTAAAAAGCACTTTAAATCGCAGAATTTAAAGCCTTTAAACGACTCACGACGGTATTTTTATGTTGGATTTCTTTATTTGCAGCCTTTTTGAAAGAGAAGCACATTTCTTACCGCATCTTTTCAGACATTCTCATCTTCAAAATATTATCAGATCAAGTCATGGCTGAAACTCTTGTGGTTTGGCTAGGTACCTCATTTTCTAAATTCCTGAGAACAGTCTAAACTAATTTATGACGCAATTAAGGTGAAATCTAATGTTATGCTCAATCTGCTTCAACCAAGTCTGCTTCAATCAAGACTATTAATTAAGGATAACACTATTTTCACAGTAAAAAGAGAGCTTTAAATAAGTTATATCTCATTGGTGATTAGAGTGATAATTTCAATGATAACTTAGTGATCACGTACTAAGGTAAGACAGATGAGTCATGTAGCTAGTCGAGTAGCCCGCCTCATTACACCCCCACGCAGACTAGTAGCAATGTTAGGTGGAGACTCCCTCACCAAACCAGATGTAGTGTTCGTACTGGGACCCCCTGGAGCTGGCAAGGGCACTCAGTGTCAGATGATAGTACAGAAGTACGGTTATACTCATCTTTCTGCTGGTTGGTATTATAATTAGTTTTACCTTATCTCACTATAAAACATACCTTAGCTTTTATTGTGATTATTATTTAAGGTGGTCATGCTGTTTTATGATTGGTGGGATTCATCACCCTGCAACCTCACCACATCTTAATAATTATCAATCCATAAAAGTTATCATTTCTTCCTTTTGCTAAAAGCAAAGCGATATATAAACTTGTCCTCTACTTTACTTGTCCCCTACTTTACTTGTCCCCTACTTGGCCCTTAACCTTACGACCACCTCAGGTGATCTACTCCGAGCAGAGAGAGCGTCCGGCTCCTCCGACGGTGACCTTATTGAGTCCCACATCAGAGGCGGCACCATTGTCCCTGTTGCTATCACCGTCAAACTACTTGCTAACGCTATGATGAAGGTCACTGATGGAAAGTTCCTGATTGATGGCTTCCCAAGGAATGAGGATAATGTGGCAGGCTGGAACAGTCTCATGCACGATAAGGTAGGTTTAAATAGTCTGTGATCAGATGTCGTAGTTTGATCTGAAACACCAGTTTTATAATCTGAGAAATCCCATATTTTGATATACCGTTTTTGAACGTTCTGTTTTTTATTTGAAAAGTAAGTCCCATATTTTTAGGTAAACCTGAAGTTTGTCCTGTTCTACGAGTGTAACGAAGAGGAATGTCTGAAAAGAGCTCTGAGCCGGAACCAGGGACGCTCCGACGACAACGTGGACTCTTTCCGGAAACGAATCCAAACATATCTCAACTCCACCATGCCCATAGTAAACAGTTTCAAAGGAAAGGGACTCCTCCGGAATATAGATGGTAGTACTGATCCTGAGTCTGTGTTCTTCTTAACTCAGAAGTGCTTTGAAAAGGGCGAGAATGGAGAAGAGTGAATAGTTTAGACTAGTTTTTAGGTTCCCCTTAGTTTATAATAACGACTGTTCATCTTTACTCAAGACAGTCTGATCAGATATTGAGACGTCTGGAACCTCTCAACTACTTTTGGGAATCGTTCACATATTACGTATATTACGTAAGCCAAGGGGCATTTTATATCCCCTTCCCCATTTTATACCCCCTTCTTTTCCGTAAACCACTTTTTTACACTCAGCTACTGTGAATAAATTACACTAAAGTAAACATTTCCAAGTCCCCTCCCATAGGCTGGTTTACGTAATATATGAACGTTACCTTGATTCGTCATAATATAATAGTGCTTGCCCGTTACCCAGCTTTTAAATCCAAAATGTGTATCATTATTCGTTCCATAATCCAAAATTTGTTTTATAATGTCTTATCTTGAGATAGTTCGGCTTTAGTGGACTTTTTGGTTTCTAGTTTGATAACTGTAACTAATAGATTGTGCTTTTTAACTGATCTTAAAGGGATTGCAAATAAGTTTTGTTTTCCTGAACTTGCTAGAACTTTTATTTATAAAGATCCCTTTCCATTATATATGTGTTAAATTACTTTATTTATTTGATTTTTATCACCTGAAAATAAGACTCGGCTATATTTGTGGTATGTGACTGTGGGACTGGGAGGTGGATAGTTGATATAGAGTACTGTGTGCACGATGTTTACATTCCACATTGATATGCGAGAAAGCTCGGCTGGGATTTTATAAGTTCCACATGTGTGATATGTACAAGCAGAGAATAGTTCTGTCACTGGTAATCAATACGAACATATCTAGCGAGTATGATCCGCTTTAACCCCCCGTGTTAGTATCACTGTGCTCTACCTTTCTTTGCTACTCTTTATTTGTATAGTATTCAAAAACCATGTCCGTAATACTGTTTCACTTTATCCTATGTTAACTTCCTTTTAGCTAAGCTTTTAATTTGTTTTCCTACAAAAATCGTATATTAACATGACATGTTCCATCAATAGACAAAAACTTCACATGGAGATAGCAGTTGTCAAGCGAACATGTCCCATGGACAATATTTCGACGGGAAGTCGTGACGATGACCAAATTTGTGACTTTTGCAGGACATTGTGTCCGACTATTGCAGTATTTTAAGTGGTGCATCTTAACCTGTGATCCGGTCATTCTGCCGAGCGTGTCAGTGTGTCACCTTCAATCTCCAGGTCCTGTACATCAGTACATATGCAGCAGTACATATGCAGCCCTGCCCAACCATCTGATTATTATTGTGTGTATAGAGACTGAGGATGTTTAAGTTGGTTCTGTGTGAGAGAGAAAATGTACGGTATGTTGACACGCCGCTGCAAACAGCGTGTCGCTGACAGCAGCCCTCCCCCTAACCTGTTTGATAAAGGTCAGTTACTATTTATAACTCATTGCAAAACGTTTCAAACAGTAAGACATCCAAACTAAAGCTGGGATGAAGTGGCAACTAACGCCAAGCGGATCAATAACAGAACATTCCATGGTGACAAGCTCTCTCTCATACTGCTTGAACTTCTAAGCAGTTATGAGAGAGAGCTTGTAACCATGGATTCGTTCTGTAATGTTGAAGTTGACTTAACATGCAATAAATTCTAAATGGGGGCCTTGTGCAGGTAACTTGGGCCGCCAGCATTGGATAAGGTTGTGTGTGTAAAAGGTCATACTTGTCAATTAGTTTAATACACACAGCTAACATAGCCCCTCAGAAATTACCTCAGGCCCAATTAATAAAATGTATAAAATGTAAAAGTGTACTATTCAATACGGCTGTTCAGAATGACAGGTTTTATTATTGTTTTTTCCAAAATGCCCGGGAATGTTTGTTTGGGTAGAATAAACGATGCTAGATAATAATATGTGTTATAATGATAGAGGGTTCTAAAAAATGCCTAGTGCCATGATGGAATTATGGGGACAACTTTGTTTTGGGAAAAAACTTCATTCTGACTAGCCGCAGTCTTCATTCTATGTTGTATTAATTCCCAAGGAATAGTGATTTAGTTGAATTGACAGAACGGTGTTATGGTAATTGGTGGTATAATTTACCTAACTGCACGGCAAGGTCCAATTAACCAAAAGTTTTTTTTGTTTAATGGATGGCCTCAAAATTACAAATTAACTTTCCATTCTGACAGCCGTAGTCTATAAGGGGTAATTTCAAATGCGATTTTTCCCCATCACTGGCTAATTTTTAACCATATTCTAAACCCCAGGGAAGAAAAACTTTCCCTTAGTTTTTAGGTGTTTTGTGAACGTTTCTGACTTTAAAACAGCTGTTTTTAATGATTTGTGCTTTAAAAAAATATAAACCATCTTTCTGACAGGCCTTACACCGTATCCCCAATCTATGGCCATCTAAAATTGCTAGGGTGTGTTGTGATGTTTGAGCCTTGGTTTCTTTGGAATAAAGCATTATCGAACTTTTATGCAAGTTAAACTAACAACCTTTGGATCCCTCGTTAAAAGTATAGAGAACTTACTGTCTTAAACCATATTTTGCCTTTAACATTACACGCGACCTTAACGTGGAATTTCCCAACACCTATCATTAAAACATTTCAAGTGTGTCTATCACTTCCATATTCCAACGAAGAGACTCTTGGCAGGATAGGTCGAAGTGGACGGGTTTCTAAGAAACGTTTTAAATGTGTAAATCTAGAACTTGTCTTAAATGCACGCATTTGACGATGTTTATGTTTTGGCCCAATACACCGCTAAACGTACTCTTTTCATGTCAATGAGTACTACGTCACTTGCTCAAATACGTACCCCTACTTTTTACAACAAGCCTGCAAAAGTGGATGTGATCGCTGAGGGTTATGGATGGAGAGAGATGAGAAGGACGGTTTGCGGGTTCTTTTTTTGCTCTGAGATTGTACCGCTCATTTTATCGGTTACGCCGGGTGACTCACTTGAAATCATATATCAATCTGGTACGTTTGTGAGGACATCCAGGTAAAAAAAAAACTGTTTCAACATAACATTGCTGAAGAATTTGGGTGTGAAAAAGATGGGAGTGAAATGTGTATCTCCCAAGCGGAAAACAGACTATGCGTTTGACCTTGTGCAATGATGAGAATGTGAACATGCAAAGCTTGTGAAGTTGAGGCTAAGTGTAACGGGATATATTACGGAACTACTGTCATTTACAGCTCACAATTTTAGGTTATGATGAGGTGAAGTCGTAAAGAACCAATTACTTACCTGCAACGCCATTCTAGAATTGTCCAAGTAAGATGATAGCTACTGTTGTAGTCTCGTAGATACGCAATCTTCGGCATTCCGTCTCAGCATTGGGCAATATAATCCAAGGGTCCTACTTCCAGGATCACTTCAGATGTGCAAATATGATCGCACTTTGAGTCTTACTGTTCGCTCCAACTCCTTAGTCAGGGACTACATGTAAGATCCATTTAAAATCGATGTCGACGTGACGCGTGTTCTGTGAGGATCGAAGGGCATAATTCGGAGCATACTCCTCACAGAAAATTTATTGCTAGGGACTACCTCTTGTGCCGATGACCATAATTGATACGCATTTGCGTCCAAACTATACAGTGTGATTTCGTGATTAAACACAGCCTGTGGTGACTTGAAGAAGATTGCACAGACAAAAAGCGATGAAACGACTTTCGTTGCTAGCAATTTCTAGTTCATGTGGAAACGTGCACACGTTGTACTTATAATGACAGCGGAAATTCTTGCGTCCGTTTAGCTTGGGTAAATGAAGGTGAATTAGATTGCACAGATGGGGGAAAGGATGAAGAAAATGATTGGCCAAGTTGTGGACAAGGACAAATCCATTTCGTTATGTTAGAGACACTACATCCTGTGGAATATGTATACCTATGTTCATCCGGACGTGCGGACTCATCGAATTCGCACAGCTGTGCGATGGATAGAGGACATGTGGTAATGAACTACAAGTCTGCATACTTGACTCGTTTGGTCAATTGAAATACCCTCTTTTAATTTCACTGGACTTCTCCTGACGGGGACTGTATAGACATTCTTTCTTACTTTGTTCGAAGGACTTAGAACATGGAATCCTCAAAGACCAAAATGTGGTAAGCGATTATTTTTTTGCTAATAATATCTTGACGTCTTTGGCCAGTATGACATTATATTCAAACATTCCATCAAAAGCCGAGTGTGTTGTGTGACAGCCTATTTGGGGAGATTCTACGTTATAACTAGCTTGTAGTAAAAAATGTAGTAACTCTTTCATGTCCCATTACAGTGCTTCGGGAAGTCAGGAACAGTGTTCCGAACTAATTTTAATATTCCAAGGTATTTTACCAATCGCAAACAACAAACACTTAACCTTCCCTAAGGAAACGTCGAGCTGCTTATATTATGGATTACTTGCTTGTAAGAATCAATCACAAAATGTTTGGAATTTAAACAGTGTGCGACCTAGTGGGACGACTGTGGTGACGATTCTGACGAAATCATGTTGCTCAAACCATTTCAGTGGCACTGTCACAGGTTTCTACATTCCAATGACAAAACAAATGTGATGGCACCTATAAAACTGTTCTGATCTATCAGTTGAGTGTAATGAAGATTGCTCGGTTAAAATCCTTAAGACTGGATGCTGGCTGTGTTGCGGGACTATGGGGGTGTAGCCGTTTCTGCAAATTTTTGGGTCATCCGTAAAAGAGCATTGTATTTTTCAAAACTTTTAACAAATCATTGGTATTTGTGAACAAATGTCTAATCGTGATGTATCATGTGCGGACTTCTAGTAGGAGTATATCTACTCTTCATCGCTACGTTGCACTATAATCCACAATAACAATTACTGCTCCAATGCTCTACTATCTAGAATCACATCGTGCGAAGATACTATTAACTCACTAGTACATTTTTGCCAGGTACTTGGGGTGTAAGCTCCATGGGATCACAATTCTCCGTATTTGCCATGACGGGGCGTGTGAATGACTCGAGTTAAAGGAGTTTTAATCTGTCCATGAAGCCCAAGGTGATGTTACCTCCAAAAACTAAAATCTTAAAGATGTTCTTGGACAGGGGTCATTATTTGAACTAAGTGATACTTTATATCGGTATTTCACCTGATTAATAGATTTGAGGACTACTTCGTCATTGGGTTGACGTACGACGTGAGATGAGATATTCATAGGACGAGTCAACAAGGAGACTGCAATTTGCGGGCGTACAAGGCTTCTATGGGGAGAAGATGAATGAAAAACCAGACACTGTCTTGGCATATGATCAACAAATGGTGGATGGCATGTTTTCACATGACTATAACTACACAAATATCACTGAAACCAGAAGGTAAAAGACACCTTTTTTATGGAATCGAGGGAGTGTTGTCTCTTCAAAATTACTTCGTCAAAAAATCTCGGACCCTCAGAGAACATTTTGTCCTGGACAATTTCTAGATAGGACATGCTGTCGCTTCTTAATGATAACAGTCTGCTACGTCTGTTATGGGAGTCATATAAACGACGTTCATTACACCATGCAATTTATTAGATATTCTAGTACATTCACGCCGTCTATGAACTACACGATTGAAGAGGGCAAAGACTAGTCTTCTGAACAATGTTTATCTTTATTTGCATCCTCTTTTGCATCTGGGCCTCTCTCGACAACTACGACATAAGAGAAATTCTTAGCCTCCATTGTGCTAGTACCACCAGGATACACCCAACATACGCCAGGTTTATACCTGTAGACAACCTGGTAGTAAGCTGCATCACCACCTGAGTATAATCCAGGGATATCATCTCCATCAACATGACAAACCACCGAGTAGATGGGTTGGTTATCATACTTCCCTTGTCCCACAATTACACCATGTTTCGGTGGAGAACTATCAGCAGCTTTCAGCATTGCTTCATAACCATCATCTGGGCGAATGAAATGGAAATCGGTTGTTTTACAT